TTTAACCCAACCCCCGCGTAACTAACCCACTTCCATCCCAACTCCTAACCCAACCCAACCTACCTTTCAACCCAACCCCAACCCACCTTTCAACCCAACCCCAACCCACCTCCATCGGAACTAACCCACTTCCATCCCAACCCATTCTAACCCACCTTTTAACCCACCTACTTCCCTTCCCAACCCACTCTAACCTCACGCCCTCATCCCGCTGAAGCCAAAATGGTTGGGTTAAGCGATCTGCCTTCCCCCCTCCTCCTCTTCCTCCCCCCTCCCCTCTCCCTTCCCCTCCCCCCCCCCCTTCCACCTTGGTTGTAACCCGCCTGGCCATGTTTGTTTACGCGGGAATTCATCTTGGTGGCGTCGGTTGACCATATTAGGTAAAGTTGCAAAGATGCTGAGAATCTTTTTTTTTTTCTTTTTAATGCGTGTGTGTGTGATTTTTTTTTCTTTTTTTTTTCTTCTATTGCTTCTTTTTCTTCTTCGTCTAGGTTTCGTTGTCTCTGGTTCTGGTTCTGTTTGTGTTTGTATCTGTTTGTTTGTTTGTTTGTTTGATTTCCCTCTCTCTGTCTTTCTCTTTTCTACCTTGCTCTCCTTTTCTCCTCTCTCTCTCTCTCTCTCTCTCTCTCTCTCTCTCTCTCTCTCTCTCTCTCTCTCTCTCTCTCTCTCTCTCTCTCTCTCTCTCCCATTCTGTCTGTCTGTCTCTCTCTCTTCCTCCTCCTCTCTCTCTCTCTCTCTCTCTCTCCCTTTCTGTCTGTCTGTCTCTCTCTCTTCCTCCCTCGGTCCCTCCCTCCCTTCCTCTCTCTCTCTCTCTTCCTCCCTCCGTCCCTCCCTCACTCTCTCTCTCTCTCATGACAAGAGAACCATCTGAAAACAGTAGAAGAAAAACGAGAAATGAATAAAGAAGCTAAACCTTTAAGCAGTGTATGGTGTCAGTTTTGGTGCAGATATTATGTGTCGTGTCTGCGGATGATCACCATTAACGTTATCATCATGATCGCCTGTGTTTTCGTTATTTTCGTTGCCGTGACCTCGTTCAGCAAGAACTGGTCATCGTCTTGCTTTTTTCCATCTTCGTTTTTATTCAAATCCAAGCTCTGTTTTTCTTCCTTTCTTCTCGTGATTATCATAATCCTCCCTCTCCTCATCCTCCTGCTCCTTCTCCATCTCCTTCTCCTTCTCATTATCATTCTATTTCTCTTCCTCCTCCTTTTTACTTCTTCTTCCTCATCGTCATTGCCATTGTCCTTCTTCTCCTCTTCCTCCATCTCCACCTCCTCCTCCTCCTCCAACTCCACCTCCACCTCCTCCTCCTCCTCCTCCTCCTCCTTCCCCCCCCCCCCCACAACCTCCAGCACGCCCACATCCTCCCCCCCTACAACCTCCAGCATCTCCACCTCCCCCTCACGAGCATCTCCTCCCCTTCCTCCACCTCTTCTTCCCCCTCCTCCTCCTCCTCCTCCACCTCCTCCACCTCCACCTCCTCCTCCTCCCCCTCACGAGCATCTCCTCCCCTTCCTCCACCTCTTCTTCCCCCTCCTCCTCCCCTTCCTCCTCCTCCTCCTCCACCTCCTCCTCCTCCACCTCCTCCTCACGAGCATCTCCGTGCGTATCTCCCACGTTGCACCAGCCTCCCTCATCTCACTTGACGCGTCCGCACGTGCTCCCGAGAAGGTGTCGACGCCTTATGCAAATTCCCTTGTCCCTTTAAATCGCCCAAAAGAAGAAGAAGCCTGTACTGTCGCACCCTAATTACGTATGCATGCACCGCTCGTATTCGTCTGCGCTGCGGGAATGTGCTGGAGGTATGCTGGCGTGATAGATGTCGATAGATAGGTGTTGGTTGTAGATAGAGGGATAGATGGATTGATAGATTGATGGATATGTATATATATATATATAATATATATATATATATATATATATATATATATAGAGAGAGAGAGAGAGAGAGAGAGAGAGAGAGAGAGAGAGAGAGAAGAGAGAGAGAGGAAGAGAGAGGAAGAGAGAGAGAGAAGAAGAGAGAGAGAAAAAAAGAGAGAAAAAAAGAGAGAGAGAGAGAGAAAGAGAGAGAGAAAGAGAGAGAGAAAGAGAGAGAGAGAGAGAGAGAGAGAGAGAGAGAGAGAGAGAGAGAGAAAGAAAGAGAGAAAGAGAGAGAGAGAGAGAGATAAACTGACAAACAGATAGACATGTACATATATAAATAGATATAAAAAGGATAGATGGATATGCAAAGGTTTACAGATGCGTAGAGAAACTATTTGATAATCGTATAAAAAGAAAGAAACGTGATGCAATGAAGAAAAAAATGAGAGGAAAATTAGACATAAGAAAGGTAATAAAGTTGATAACCATAATAATAAACGAAAATGACAGTGAAGAACCAGTAAGGAATAAAAGAAAATAAAACATGGCAAAGATAACACATGTTTTAGATAACGATGATGAGATCTCCCACTAAGAACAGAAAAAAAGTCACGGGATGGCGACGGACTGCCCCCCCCCCTTCTCTCTGGCACGATTGCATGACTCCCCTACGACTGGTCTTTGCATCGCGTCAAGTATTAACAGTGACCAGGATTGGATCGGGTACCTGTTTCTTTTTTTTCGTTTTTTTTTTTTTTCTTTTCTCTTTATACGTTTCTCTTTCTCTCTCTCCCCCCTCCCCTCTCTCTCTCTCTCCCCCTCCTTCCCTACTCCCCCCTTCTTTCTCTCCCTCTCTGTTGCACCGCCAAGCATTATTTACATTTTCATTAACACTCTATCTATTTATCTATCTACCTATACATATATCTTCGTGTATCTCTTTATCTTCATTTCTCTCACTATCTCTCTATTTCTTTCTCACCAGCTCTCCCAGTCTTTTTTTTCTTTTCTTTTTTTAATCCCTCCCTCCCCTTTACAACTAACGAGCTCAGGGTCATTAAATTTCTTGTTTTTCTTCGTTTCTTTTTTCTCGTGGGGGTTCATTACCATTTTTCTTTTTCTTTTTTTTTTCAATCATTAAGCGGATCCTCTTAGGTGTCCATTTTTTTTTTCTTTCCCTTAAAGGTCTTACATGTCCCATCCCTTTTTTTTCTGACGTCACTAAATATGGCGACATTATCCCTATGACGTCATCAATGCGAGCCTTATGACGTCACGCGCCTTAGCAACACATTGCTGTCGCTTAATGCTGGCGACGAAAACCAATTGTGTGGCTTAAATGAGGTAGAGAATTGGTCGTTTTTTGTTTTGAGAGAGTTTGCTGTTCCTCAATTACTCTTCCGATCTCTTTCGATCTTTCTCACACACACACACACACATGTATATATGCAAATACATACATCGCATGTACATATATATATATAATTATATATAATATATGTACACATACATATGTAAATATAAATAAATAAATAAACAAATTATATATATAAATAAATGAATTATATAAATGAATAAATAAATAAATTATATATATATATGTATATATATATATATATATATATATATATATAGAGAGAGAGAAAAAAAAAAGAGAGGAAAATTAGACATAAGAAAGGTAATAAAGTTGATAACCATAATAATAAACGAAAATGACAGTGAAGAACCAGTAAGGAATAAAAGAAAATAAAACATGGCAAAGATAACACATGTTTTAGATAACGATGATGAGATCTCCCACTAAGAAAAGAAAAAAAGTCACGGGATGGCGACGGACTGCCCCCCCCCCCCCCCTTCCACCTTGGTTGTAACCCGCCTGGCCATGTTTGTTTACGCGGGAATTCATCTTGGTGGCGTCGGTTGACCATATTAGGTAAAGTTGCAAAGATGCTGAGAATCTTTTTTTTTTTCTTCTATTGCTTCTTTTTCTTCTTCGTCTAGGTTTCGTTGTCTCTGGTTCTGGTTCTGTTTGTGTTTGTATCTGTTTGTTTGTTTGTTTGTTTGTTTGTTTGTTTGTTTGTTTGTTCGTTTGGTGTTTTATTTGGTTTGTTTGTTTGTTTTTGTTTGTTTTTGGAGGGGGACTAGGTG